TTTTTTTTTTGTTTCTTAATACTTGTTGAGTTTAATACTTGTTACTCAGTACAAAGAAAATAAATGTCTATATCTTTGACTGTTCTTTTATTATTATAATGATCTAACAGATACAAAACAAAAAACGAGAATGCCACTGTGATATTTTCCATTCGTCTTTTTTTCTTCTTAGTCTTATAGCTATCGATCATTAACTCAATAATTGCGAGTCAGCTAGAAAGTCCTTCAATTAAATGACATCAATAAATACTTTCTTCTTAATAAATTTTTTTTTTATTTCGCATCAGATCATTAGGAAACAAACAGATGTATTAACTTAGATCGATCGATCGAAAATTTTATCATCTTAGTGATATTACTTACTTACGCTTGAATATTACTTGAAAAAATGTCCTGTGTAGGAAGGAGAAAAAACCGGTATGCGAATGAAGCAAAAAAATGATAATTTCACAGTAAATCAATGAGCAGATGAAATTATTTTTGATAACAGACCATAAAAATAGAGAATACAAAGATGCAATTAAGAATGTAGTTTTTTTTTTTTTCTCCTTTCTTTCTTGCTTTCTATTGATAATGATAAATACTAGCGTACAAATGAATTGATGAGACAGACATTAACAAGGACATGAAGCTAAAATATGTGTCTTTGTTCATAATGAATAGAGAGAGAGAGAGAGAGAGAAACAACATCCCAAAATTACTTCACAAAGAGACTCTTATGAATGATTTTCTAATCATATATTTCAATCGGTTATATACATGTTAAGGTAATTAAACGCCTTTTGGTAGGTATCCAAAAAAAAACATCAGTTAGTGAAAGTCGATTTTTTTTTCATCGCTATGATAAAATCATCAGTACGTAAATAAAATTAGATAGTTTATGAGATGAACGTCTCAGTATATTGTACTTAAGTTTGTGACATTTGTTTGTTCGGATTATTAATGTTGTTTGTAAGATAAATAAATAAAAGTATGGCTCAGCTGCAGAAAGTGATAAATGATATTTAACGACAAGAAAAAAAACTAATTGTTGTTCTCATAATTATATCAAACAGCAAACAAGAACGAAAGAATTCATTCTGTTGTCTTTTACACAAGAATTACTTTTTTCATCTAATGTTATGTCTAACACTAAAACTTTACTTTTTAAACTCAAGTAGCACGTTTCAAAATGCTTGCATTAATAGAAATTATGTTTTATTATACTTTTGAAACAAAATATGCAGCAAAGCATCACAAAAAAAACTGAAAGAAAATTTAAATATTAAAATTATTCATACGATAGAATGCATGGATATGATACTATGACGTTACTTAGTTATTGAACATTTTATTTATTCGTTATATTGAACCTCGAACTTCAATGTATTGGATAAGATAGTTAAAGAAAACAGGAATATTATTTCTTCACTAATGCTGTGTAACGAATCAATTTGATGATTCGTTTAGTTGAACTTGTTCATTTTCTTCAACTTGATGATGACAATGAAAATTTTTATTTGTCAATCTATCAGTTAACTAAATGAATTTATAAATCTAAGGATATTTAATCTTAAATATTTGAGTATGACTTATTGTTTCGAACGTTAGCACATACGGTCGAAATTTTATTAAATGATATCATAATAATTCCTAAGAATCGTAATTATTTCCTCATATAAAAATTGAATTGAATATATCAATATCTACGAAATAGAAAGAACCAAAAAGGATCATATGATACAAAAAAAAGAAAAGAAAGACATTCACTAGACTGGGATAGAAGTGTCGTATATGTTTATCTAATAACGGATAGATGGAATTCGGAATCTATTAATTTCTGAAAAAGGTTAGATCTGATATGATTACAATAGAAAAAAATTAATCAACAATATTTATTTGATCTCAGTCCACACAATACTATTTTTTGCATACACAAATACAAATTACGACCACTTATAAATGTATACCACATGACCTTTCAATTGTTTTCTTGTTTCGGATATATTACGATAAACTTAAATTTACCTTCGGACATTTTTAATTTATCTATTCTTAACTTGTGTTCATGCATCTAACAAAATTAGTTAAGTGATAAACGTTCAAGCATATAATACATTTATGTATTGATTGTGTATCTGTACAAACGAAAGAAAGTTAATTTAGTGGATTAAATCGGGTTACACCCTTGTACATAAATTTCGATGTAAATTGTATGAGTAAAACTGGCACATTCATCTAATCCTTTCTCGAAATATATTTTATTTTCTTTCTATTCGAAAAGCTCTAACAATCAAGTAAATAGGTAAGCGTTCGCATGTAAGACAAGATTAACATTGATCGAGTTGATGAGATGTTCTTTTCTATATAAAAACATCATGCTAATAATTGTATACAGTTAAATCTAGATGTTGATATTTAAAGTTTTGTCAAAAAGAAATGACAATTACTGTGCGTAAGTTAAACTCTTTAATCAAAACAAGTAGATATGACTTTACTTCATTCTTATATAAACTGTTTTCATAAATATATATGAAAAAGTACTGATTAATGCTAATCAAATATGTGAATTAAATATTTGGTTTCGCATCACTCAGATTTTGATGAAACATATAGCTATGTTAAATTTATTCTACTCTTGAACAAGGTAATGGTACAAAAGTGTTAGGAAATCAATATATTACATATGATATTGGTCTTGACTACCCATCATGTTAGCAGAAACTGTAGAACTATTTTTAAATGTAGACTTAACAGTAATACTCACGATTCAAGAAAAGACAATTCAAAGCAATTTAAGAATATCAACGTACATGTCAAAGAGAGATATATACTTTCAGATTAGTATAGAACTAACAAAAATTCAACTAAGAATAATGAGAATGATGTCTTGAAATGTATCACAAAGCAAGGTAATGACGACGAAAAGCTATTGAACATACCAAACTACGTGACCTTAAATACTTTACGTTTCTTAAGTAGTGCATCGACAATAGAGTAATATCGTAGAATTTTCTCTTTTTTCGATCGTGCTTTTGTGAATGTTCTTCGAAAGAGCAACTTTTGTCTTTCAAAATGAGACTAACACTCTTTTAATCATAATTATTAATGCTTCAGCGACTACGTACGAAATTTCAGAAATTTTCTTTAGCTAAATATAAAATATATTCATCCTTCAAACAGAGCTCTATTTTACCCCTTTTGACATTTTGTTAGCAAAATTTCGGTCGAACGCATTTTATGCGCCAATAGCAGAATGCCTTAATATTTTCACCAGTGACAGAGCTCAAAACGTTATATCGTATGATGTATTTAGCAATTTAGTACCATGCGAAAAATCAATTACTTTTTTTTATCAAAAGTCATCTTTTTCTTATTATTCATAAGATATGTTTGAAGATGTTGGCGTATTTGCAATAGATTATACTCTGTCTACTGCTTAAAATTTTCTTGTGTAACTGCGTATTTGTAGTAAATGGTATGACATTATAAAATTAGTAAATCAGATCTTCGATATTTTTAGTGTTAACGAGAAAAGATGATAAGTTAAGAAAGGATTAAGCCATATATTCTCAATCAGCATGTAAAACTACAGCAGAAAATGTAAATGAATATACTTAAAATGGATAAAACATTTTAAACACAATCTCCTTTTGCATACACGCGACAAGTGGGTTCTTTAGTTTAAATACGTGTTGTTAATTGTAATATGTCATGTTATGTCGAGCGAAATAGTAAATACAGCTATTCTACAATACAAATCGACGACCAGAGTAGTTCTTTATATTTATGTTAGATATGATTGTGTATACATATGACTCAAATGTAAGCAGATATAATTAAGTGATTAATAGTTCGATTGTATTAAGATATCATTGGCAAGAAAGTTTCATCGTGTTTTTTGTAAATCATTGGATATTATTAGGATTTTAATAACATGTCACTGGAATTCTTATTTCCTTCTTTTTATATCAAGATGTGACTATCCATGTGTATTTTTTGCTTTTCTACATATTTTTTGTCAAAGAGGACAATATTGAACAAGGCCATTTTTTTCATTCACAAGAGAAACGATGAAAAAAAAGAGAAGAAGAACACCAACAACAACCTTTTTCACATTGATAATAAATGTCATTACCAATAGAATTCAATATGATGAAATCATTTCCATAAATAATATAGTCGACTGATGCAATTCAGATCACTCTTCAAAAGAATCGTTATATCTCAGTCATTTTTCAACCATTTTATACGAGAAAAAAAAAGATATTTTTCTCCAGGTAGATAGTCCAAAGTGTTTTCTGCCGATCCATATTAAAGTCTGAAAAAAGCTTGATTTTTTCGATAGAGTTTAGGGTGTAGTGTGGTGTATGATGTTTGATGTGGGTGTCTGAGAACGGGGTATATAAATATGATAGTGGGTAGATTCGAGTGTGGTTGTACTTGTGTGGGTATGGGCGTAATTATTTGAATAAGGAAGAGAAGCACCACAGTGTACATTCCCGCCGTTGTCGCTGATGTCCTCATCGACAGGCACCTACACATCCACACCAGAGTAGTAAGGACGAGTGTTACTTGTTCAGCATATAGTTCACTTCGAAGAGCAGTATTCAAATGGACATTCTATGTACTCGTATCTACATTATCTCGATGCTATGAAACTTTGGTATTCTAAATCTTTACTCATGCTCAGGTGGCGCAAAATGAATAATGTTTACGACTCGTTTTCAGTCAGTAAACGTGAAAACATGTCAACTTTATCGTAGTAAGCAATCTATGTGTTTACAATGTTTGATCGGACGTAGTAATACAGCCGATATATTAAAAATAGCATGAACAATCATAGTATACTATTTGTTTACCATACATTATGGCTGTTCAAATCGATCGTATATTTTTTTCTAGATGATTCAGCTCAAATGAAAAAAACATTCAGAAGAGAATAGAAAAGTCTGCTAGAAGATACAAATATCCGCTGGCGGTGTAGTCATATTTTGCTTTTCCTATTACTACTGATATAGATGACGTTTCGTAAGTACATCAAGTTCCACATATTGATTGAGGACTTTAGCTAAAGTGGACAGTTTTTGACCTTTGGCATTGCTGCANTAGCTCCACCTCTTCCAACACCACCACCACTCGTTCTCCGTGAACGACCACCAGTACCACCACCAGTGATTGCATCACAAACTGTCATTCGTCGTTTGGCTGGTTTACCAGTTCCACCACGATCAGTCATCATCGAACGTATCCCACCTGCTCCACCACGACCACGTTAGTAATTTCATTTTTTTCTCCTTCCTAGTGTTTTTATCATATTCTTGATTCATTTTAGGTGACATCGTCTTGGAACGTTGGGTTCAATATGGACCTCAAGCTAAACGCCGTACCCTTCTTCAACGTGCTCCAGCTCCTGCACCATATCCAGCTCCACGAAACGTTATCATCCAATACGAACAATCTCCAGCTCGTATTGTTCGACAATTCCAACGCCTCGGTGTTACTGCAGCTAGCCCATCAGCCTATGTTCAAACATATGGTCTTCAACTTCTTGATGGTGCTTCACTTGTTGCACAAGCTCGTGCTGCTGGTGTTGTTGAAGATATCGTATGTTAATCGTACAGTATTCTTTTCTCTCGTTGAGTAATCATCTTTTCCTCATTGTAGTCAGCTCATGGTTATGTTGGTTATGGTGCTGGTGCCTATGGTCAAGAATCATGGAGTGCTTCATCAGGTTTAGCCGGTGGTGCTGGTCTTGTTAGTGGAGGTGTTCAAGTTGTTGATGGTGGTTATGGTCTTGGTGGTGGTTATGGTTCATCATCATGGGAGTCATCAGGCTACTCATCAGGTGGTCTTGGTGGTGGTTATGGTCTTGGTGGTGGTTATGGTCTTGGTGGTGGTTATGGTGCATCATGGGGATCATCAAGCCTCGTTGGTGGTGGTGTTAGTGGAACTGATGCTGCTTTCGTTGGTGCTGACACCAATCTTGATGGCACTCTTGACCAAGGAGAATTCCGTCAATTCCTTGGTGAGTATTTGTTCGAATGAATATTATCATTTTATGTATATCATAATTAAATTGCATTCATCTATTTCTAGCTCAAAATCTTTAAGAACTTACTGGTACATCATCATACGAAACATGCATTTCATCTGTTCCCTATTAAAACATTAAAATAGTCAATGGAAAATCGAAGATCTATAAACAATAGTAGTTATATCTTGAAGAAGTATTATTGTATTTTTATTTCGCTTCATTATTTCTAAAAGCTTAGTTTTTTTTATATCTTTGTACCCTTTTTTTCTGTATTGTTTCGATGTGATCAAGTAGTTTGAATTATGATTTTATCTTACATAATATAAAATTTGACGAACAAAACAAAATTCACGTTTATTTGCTCGCATGAATTAGTGCTAAAGAATTGAAAGACAGAAGCTTTGCAGAACAATTCAATCTTGTTAGAATGTGGAACTCATGTATCTCCTGTAAATTGAAATATAACTATCTCTAAATATGTCTTCAATATAATAAGATATAATTATTCTTGACGGTAAAATATAAATGGTCCTGATATTATTTGAATATCTCGACAATGCGAGGAGGTAGCAATGTGCAACATTTACTGTTCGAAAGAGAACTGTACAAAAAGTGAAACTGGTCTGAATTATCTAGAGTTTGTATTAGTCAAGCTAGTGAGTTTATGATGTAAATCATTATCCGAACATTTTTCGAGAAACATTTCAAACTATCTATGAGTTCCATTTTAGGGAATCGATGGAGAAGATGTTTCTCCGTCACACCATGAAAGACAAAATCTTCTAGCGTATACCATTCAGAAGTTATAAGTATTCCACTAGAAGTTTTCAAATCAGTCAATTCACCAATGGCAATCGTAAAATGAATTGAGTTTATATGTATTTGTCTACGCTGAGTCGTATGATGTGATTTGTTTTTGGTTTTGAATCGATCTGACATTCGAAAGAAAAGATCTTGAAAATACTCCATTTAACTTCAAAAGTTTTATATTCACTAAATAACAATGACCATGATCTACTAGTTCACAATCACACTGAAAACTAAAACTAAATACTATCATTAGACTGAGTGTAGATAAATATATTAAATTCGATAGAGGTCAGAGTGATTGGTGATCAGTTGAGCATTTTCAAGATTTCCAGTACAACGTTTGTTACCCCTGAGTGAAATAAGCTAGAAAGGATAATCTTATGTAGATTAGCATAGAAATATCTTCGTCATCGATGCCTTGATTTGAAACTCATATTTATTAAGAAATTCATTTCAAAAATATTTCCTCAAGATCAACAGCAAAAACTCACTAGCTTGAGCAATTTGTTGTCTAGATGATTCTGTAAAGTTTCAATTCTCGCATATTTCTCTTTTAAATGTTGAAAAACCGCATGTTTCTATCTACTTTCATTCTCGAAATATTCAAAACATATTGACGTGCATAATAATACGACGTCGACAACAATTGATTGAAGAAAAATAAAATGAAGCGTATAGCTTGTTTGAACATCGTGCGTGTCTGATAGAGAAGAAGTGCCAAAAAATACATCTAATTTAAGTTCTACATGATTACCTTATTGCAGTGGACATTCATGAGGTCATTCCAAAACGTTCACTCAACTGAGCTGTGTCCAATTTCGACATGTTTTCGAAATATTTATGTAACTTTTTCTGAACTATTTAGTTTGTGCTGATAATATTGCCGCCTTTCCATTGATGTAGAATATATGCAAAATGTATTCATTTTTGAGAAAATGAAGGACGCAGTTACTTTTCGAAGCAAATGGAAATTGCGACTCGTAGTATAAACACACATAAGACTTCCTCTCTTCTTTTTAAAGCTTGACGCTCACCTCTCCTATGCTCTTTTTCTGTTCCTTATTAATATTTGTTTTGCACAGTCGATTATATAAAAGCAGTTATATTCAGTGAAAAATTATGAAAGATTAGCTCGATGGAATGGAAAAATAAATATCTAAAAATATTTCGAACAGATATTCTAAAAAATGAAAAATAGTGTACCTGAAAATTAAAAAAGTGAAAATTCCGGAAAATGACGACTTTCAACAAAAAACGAAAAACAAAATTTGCAGGACTTTAATTTGTCCAAGGCTTTTTTTCGAAAAATTTCCCACTGTGAAAGAGATGGCAGAAAATATGCACAGTTGAGAATAGAGAGATGTCCACACTTGAGGCGTTCATTTCCAACAACAGCAACAGTTCGGCGGAACAAGCACATGTCCACAACAAGGAAATATTACTGTACTTATGTATATTATATGAAACGTCGATATTTGCGCAGAAATATATATCATAAACAGCACGTGTTATGAAGTATTATATTACCTAATGTTATGTTTATTTTATTAAACTTAAGTGAAAGAAAGAAATTTTGTTGTGTTGTTAAACATAGAAGAAAGTAGAAAAATACCTATCATAGATGCTTACATTGTGATTTGTTGAAAAAATGTGTATTTAAACAAGATTAACAAAAAAGAATCCATACACGGATATGATTATCTTTTTATCTAAGTTGGTTTTGGTCCTATTTTAACAATAGAACCTGTAGATGTATGAATAATATGTGCTAGATTGGCTACGATGAGATGACGCAAATGATTTATACAAATCCCAATAAACATTTTTTTTTGGGATCTCACAATCGATATTCATTGATCGGTATTTCTTTATATATTCGTCTTGATAATATTTTGTAATAGTGTACGTCAATCTTTTCCTACATGTGCTATAAGTGATGATAAATTTTCTATTGAGAACTAAGCTTGATCAATTTGTTTTGATAAAAGTAAACATTATCGTATAACTAAACGAAGATCATTTTCATTCGATTGAAATTCATTTTCGCAAATATTTCTCTCAATTGATCAGCGTTCATTACTTGGTAGTAAATCCAGAATAAAACTTTGTTTTAAACAATTTTTTTTCTATTGATAATAATGTTAAATTTATTTTCATTTAATTGTCTTTCATTTAATCTACGATTACTTCATATAAATGAATAAAAATCGATCTTTTAATGGAACTCGTGGTATATGTAGATAATTAAGCAAAAAAAATTTCTATTCAATAAAAGTTTTAATAAATTTGATGCTAGTGATGGAGAATTTTTCGTTGAATCATGTATTATTTTCGAAAATGTTATTAAATACCAAAATATAAAAATGAATATGAACGTTTCGTTTCGTTTTTCTCTTCTATCTGGTAAAAAACAAATTTTTTGATCCCATGAAACATTAAAAACAAAAAGCAAAAAATCTTGTATCGATTTAATGTTTCATCACATTGTTGATTATAAGGAAATATTTTATCAAATTATTGAACAGCAATTAAACAAACAATATCATAAACATAACGTGTTACAATTGAATTTTGTTCGTCAGTTAAATAACTAGCAACATCGACAAGTTCTTTTGCACATGGATCAAGTTTATCTCGTAATAGAATATCACTACTTAAAGCGTTTTAAAAATTTTCAGTGAATTTCTACATCACACAGCTTCGTTAAATTGGCTAATAATTTAAGATGAGAAAAGTTGTTGGCAATGATCAATTAAATAAGAAGCCCAAATTTTACATGTCTTTGATCAATGATGTTATTTTCTAGAAGAAAATGAATACTCACTGCTTGTCTTATCCATGGCTATGCAGCTTGTAATGTTAGAAATGAGAGTTAAGACACGACTTTTTCTTCCTTGTATCTGATGATAAGATGTTTGCTTCACTGCGGATGATAAGAACGCAAGGCAAACAAGAAAAAATGAATGTCGAGAGATTTCTTACGTCTGCATTTACATTTCGGTATTATTTCTTTATCTCTAACTGATAGCACTTAAAGAAAAAAAAAACACCGAATAAAAAATAGAGTTATAAATGTCAAACGAAGTTCTTTGTCAATGTCAGTATTTATGATTCTTCAATTTGTTGAATATAATTATGACAAAAAGTAGAACAATCGTTAATGTTAAAAGTGAATAAGTAAAACTTGTTTCAGAATATCGCCTGAGTACATAATCGACTTCAAGCCCTAGAACAAAAGAATATGCTTATTTTCTTAAAATTATAAGTGAGTACTCTAGTGTAACATATCTATACTATGCACATAAATTTACATTGTCTCTTTTGATCACATGTGATGACATTTTGTTCACATCGTATCTCAACAGTAAGTTTACGTATTAGTCTCTTTGTTTCATAACGCAACTGATGGATTATTAGCATTTCATCTGGAGTTGGATTATCATTTTTCATTAGTCGAAGAATCATTTGTTTATTGTTCTCAATTTCTTTTTCCAATCTCACATGGATGGATGTTTTATTTGTTATGGAAACTTTATCAGTGTGAGCTATTTGAAAAAGATAAAAAAAATCAAATTTTACTCTACAAATAAAGAAACATACATTGTGGTAACTTATATGCATGATCAGCAAGAAGTACTGCTATAGCTGTCAAATTATCAGATCGATTTGTAGTTAGTCGAAGAAATTGTTCTCGAAGTTGACGTCGAGTAGACGATTTTATTTGACCTTTTAGAACTTCAAATTGAGCAAGAAGACTTAACATTTGATTTTTGATATCATCGATAGATTGTGTAATGTTATTATTATTTAATTGCTTTTTTATAGAATTTAATATTATGAAGATGCTTTTTTTGTCTATCGAAGAATTATTGATTAACCTTTATTTAAAAAAAATTGAACGTTGTTATAAAATGATAATACTGTTAATACATAACCTACCACTTTCGCCATTCTCTTTGTTGATCAAAATTTTTTATTGGATGCCACCAATTGTTTGGTCTTGCTTGTATCTGTTCAAATGTATATTCGTTTCGATAAATTATTGTATCTAATTCAAATGGTGTTACAACTTTCATATTATTATCTTGAATAGATAATGTATGAAATAAGAATTCAATAAATGTTAGATGGCCTCTCCATTGTACATATTCATTAACACCTAATAATAATCGACGACTACAACCTATAGCACATACCATTCCATGAGCCCATGGAAGAACAAATGTCCCAGGTGCCAAATACCAATGACGCCAACTAGTTAAATTTCCGTTTATGTTATATTTAATACCAGCAGTAACAAGATCATAGGATGAATAATAAAGTTCGTGTAAAGAAAGAAATGCTTGAATTGAAGGAATAAAAACATCTTCTTCAACAAACCATACAAATGAATAATAATTAGATTGTCTTGAAAAGTAATAAAGTGCTTTATCCCATGCTGAACAAATTTTGCCAGAGCCCAAAACATTAGCTTGTTGAAAACCATATTTTGTACCAATAGTGTCATTGAATTGAAGAAATTGAACTTTAGATGATAATGTCGGTAGAGTAATAACAGTATTATTGTCAACAATAATAAATACATCTATAGATGATATATTTTGTGCTAATTCAAGAGCAAACTCAACTGTTTCGGAAGAAGGTTGTCGAATGAGAAAACAAAGAGCCGAACGTGAATGTGAAGAATAAATAGTGTTTATGATTGGTGATATAATGAAAAATATACTGATTAATTTATAGTAAATCAATGTAAAAATATTCCGATACATGTGGAAAATAAACGTTTCCGCTTCGATTGTGTAGATTAGATGACGCATATCAATATTGTTTATATTTCAGTCGTTACGTTTAGTATGAAAAAAACAATGACAAAGACACTTCACACGGTAAAAGACAATAACATGTTGATTAGAATGTTAAGTTATTTGTATCATTGTTATAGTATGACTCATTTATGTATAGTATTTTCTTTTTCTCTTTCTTTTGTTCTGCTACTTTTTTTTAACATTGAGAAGCTTATTGTTCTTTTAATAGTTTAACAAGACAATAAGATTATTAGTGTTTAATTTTCAGAAAAAATAAAGAACTCGTAATAACCTATTGAAGTTTAATGAAATACAAATTGTAGTCGATAAGTAATTGAAATGTGATACATCATTATGATGGTCAACGAAGAAAAGAAATGGTTGATGGAACCAGCAGCTTATCATAAGACTAGTATGCTTATGACTCATTACAATGTATATATATATATACAATTCTTTTTCACTACTTTATGATGCCAGTTATATATATGTTAGGATGTACGTGGGAAAGATTTTAGAATGGCCCACTCAGTAACACTAGAGGATTTCTTTTATAGATTTGAAGCTGTTGTTTTTGTATATTTTCAGAAAGGTTAGGTAATCCCACTTCGTACTTTGAGCTCTTTTAGCTAACCTGTTTGGGAATGTTGAGTTTTTTCTGAACCTGTAACTTTTGTAATATGTTTTCATGTCAGATGTAACAATAAAGAAAGCATTGGTTGCTGTTTTGAAGTTCACTCCTTCGAGAGATTCATCTAAATGTTTCATGAATATTAGCCAGTACTTGGAAAAGTGCGTATGCAGAGAAAATTCTTCGGTCAATTTTTATTTCTGTTGTCGGTATATTGCCAAAAGTTTTTCTTAGTCCGTTGTAAATGTTTCTAATTCTTCTTAGGCGATTGTTTATGAAGTTTTCCCATCTTGGCATAGTTTCAATCTCTACTCCTAGGAATTTAAAAGATTTTACGCATTCTATTGAAGTTCTTTTGTATTGTATTTTAGGGCTTCAACCTGTGACAGCATTATGAATGATCATTGTTTTCGTTTTTGCTACATCTATCGTAGGCATATGATTATCTGCAAACATTTCTACAGTTTTTAATACTGATTTTGCTTAATATTCTAAATATTTGAAATTGTCTGTCATTTTTCAATTCACGTGCTCCTGTGATGATTAGCGTGAGAATGTCTGCGAACACGTGAGAAGTTATTTGAGCGAAATACAATAGCAAAGAGTGCATGTGAAATCGGAACAATAGCTCTGATAGAACTGAACCTTTTTTGTTCTGCTATCGTACATACATGATACGAATGATTTACATACATATAGGGAAAAAGTACTTTTCATCACCAGTTTTTTTTGGATTTCTGATTTTTCATTTTCTCTTATTGGACGCTTCTGTACGAATTTAGTATTGTTTTCCGAGATCAATTTATGATCATTGCAGTTAGTGATTATAGTGCACGTATCTGTAAAGAAAAGTACATACTTATTTTCATTTTTGTGAAAATATCGATCTCGAAATCACATTGGATTCTGTTACATGTAGTCAATTTACTTGACCATGTGACAGCTATTGGGTGCGAGTGCAAGTGAGGATGAAGGTATGTGGATGCAGAGAAAATACCACACCCGGACCGTTCATTGAGAAAAGTAATGTGAAATAAGTTCTGGAAAGTGTTGGTGATCAAAAATATTGTCACCCATACATAAATTCCATCTCATCATGTCTTTCTCCAAGTGCCCTTAGGTTTTTTTCTAGTTCGTTTATCTATACGTAGTTGTTGTTTGGAGAATAAATATTCATATTCAATATTGATTTGTTAGATCGAATTCATGTTAACAATCATAAATATAAGTATCAAAACTCTATCAACCAGAAATTTCAACAACATAACATAAATGACAAATCAAAAATATTCATTTATAAAAACTGAGCCAATGCATTAATATACGTTCGGATATTAAGAAACAAATGTCTAATCAATCATTTTTGATGATAATCATTGCATTTTCGTTTTGTTTCTTAGACGAGAAGCTACAACATTCTCTTATATTCGAGTATTCAGAGCAATATTTTTTCGTAGAAAACTCAATTGATTTAAGAAGGAAATGGAAAGTTTGACTCTTTTCGCTATTTTTACATGTTCCTTCGCTTACTATTATTTCAATCTTTTTCTTTTTCAATGAGCAGTGAATAAAATGATGAAAAGCATAGTGTGAGCCACATGAAACAAAGTTAAATACGAATACAGTCGCACTTTTTCTCACCTTCAAACTCATATACAAAACAAGATGAGAATTTTTCAAACTAAATCTATTTAAGTATTTCTGTTTGAATTCAATTCGTGCATGTTTTGGCAATAGTTCTGAATAGCAAGAAAATTGAAAGAATTAAAAGTTTAATGAAATCAAAAAGGTATAGGATCGAATCTAATTTTGATAGATTGCGTTATATATGCTTCTTTTGACTTTTATTTTGATCGGTTTCTTTAAATTTGTTTCTTTCTCTCACGTTCGTTTTAGTCGGAAAAAGTCATCGAAAAAAATAAAGATGGATAATTCGAGTTATTTCAGAATAAATATCCTCGAATTCACTTCCAAGTTTCGTCAAATTTCATGTCATGTCTACGCGAAGATGTGCATAATTTTCTTAATTATAAGAAGATTAGTAAGACAGATGATTTCGAAATTATATTATCTACTGTCAACTCATTAACATTAATAATATTCAAATATTAATTTGTTCTATATGTCTTTAATTAAATAAAATGGTAGTGGCTTGGATCAAGTACATATGGATTAATGATATGATGTTGTACAAGTAGACCTACTGTTGTTAAAGCTAGTTTTTCTTCTACAGCTGGTCCTCGATTTTGCCAATATTCACCGAATACACCATGTGAATCAGCAGGATTCAACTCAGAAACATTAAAACCCATACGAGCAATAGCTACAGTTAATCGATGCATATCTTGATCAGCAATTAATACAGGAATAGGACCTTGATAATTGTTTCGATTGAATTCATCAGCAAAGGCTTGATAGGTATCTTGTCTTTTATCATTTTGATGACCTAAATCAAAAATAGGTAGGGCAAACACTACGGCATGTATGTTTCGATAAGTTTGTCCATCTTCTTCAAGTACTTTTCGAATAGCAAATGCAGAAAGTGATCGTACTTTTTGATCAATTCCAATAGCTTTGCCAGCAAATACACCAAGTCCAATACCTGTTTCGACTACCACTTGCACTCCTTCTTGATCACATGCTCGTAGTCGAAGTCTTGCCATACGTATTAAATCATTTCGAAGAAAATCTTTGTCTAGTTTTGCTCGTGGACCATTAGTTCTCCGACGAAAATCTCTTTTATTATAAACTAGTGGTAAATTCGAATTCGGATTGATTTCATAAACATCTTTCCAATTTGTAACATAAGTCCGAATATCATCTACATCATGTATTCGTCCAGCAAAATCAATGCCAGTTACTGAAACTAATTTAATTCGGTGTGGCCATTCTTCTTGAGCCGCACGAGATATTATGCGAGCATCGAATTCCATCAAGATAGGGCATTGTGAAATACGAACAACAAATTTCATACGAAATGCTTCCTTTCCATATTCACTCTGTCCTTGTAGTGCTCGTCGAAGAAAATCTTCATTCATACCCTTAATAGTTTTGTCAGCATAAACTTTATATGACTGTTGCCAATCGAGTATTTCTTGTACGTTCATCACAAATGACGTAGTAGCAGTCTTGATGGGGAAACGAATTACTTTTTCCGGATCCATCGAAAGTGGCGATTTGTCTAATTGAAATGCTTTGACACCTTGAACGATATATTGTCCAGAGAGATTTTGAAAACCGAATGTTTTTGAAAGAAATTTTTCCATTTGAGTGGTTTCAAAATCACATTCACCACTCATTGACCCACTTTTATCCATTGGAGGGAGAGACGTCAGATGTTCGAATAATTTATGCATTTTCGAATTACTCGACTCATGGAGACCAAAAGAAATACATGGGCATGGCTGAGATGGTACGTCTGTGGTCTTTGTTATAGGAGGTTCCTGCTCGTTACTTGGAGAGTGAGCAACTTGTGTTAACATGACCTGTTCATCTGTTTGGCTAGATTTTTCTTCCGAACGGACAACACCTTCTAATGATGGACGAAGAATTTCGTTTTTGTTCATGTTTGTATTTATAATTGCAATCAGTGAGTTCGATGACAATATTAACGGTTCTATCTTGATTGCAGATATCTGCTTTAGGTCATTTTGATATTTTTCGATCCGGCGTTTCCATCGATCAATATCATCACTGGTAAACTTATTTAGTTTTAAGTTCGAAGTAAGGTCTTTCGATAGCTTATTAACAGAATCATTTAATTTTTTGCTTGGCTCTTCTATCAGTTCTTTTATTTCCATTTGAGCTTTTTTAGCTGCTGATCGAATCTCTGTTATGGATTCTATTTCCCATCGGTTTATTGTATTCACTAAGTTTTGACTAATTTTATTTACTTGAAGAGCTTGTTTTAAATTAATATGTTGTTGATTGATTTCCTTTATCTGTTGAGCAAAATGTTGTTGATTCTGCAATGGGTCCTTTGAGCTTGCTGACGTTTGCATATGTATACATCTAGTACTTGATACATTAATGTTGCCTCTTTTGGAAGTCTCTCGTTTCTTTTTGGAACTCATAGCTATGCAAATGTAATATACGTGTTTGAAATCAAAATCTTCTAACTTCGTCGGTTATATATTGCTTGAAAATAAAGTAATTCATAGACAGTACTAGATAAGAATGCATAAAAAAGATAAAACTGAAGAGTAGGAGTTTTTGTGTCCGGTAACATTTTCTCCCCTTATTCTTCATTCTGAATAAAAGTCATATATAAAACGAAATAAAAGGTGCTTGAAAGTAAAGAATGAATACTGATGTCATATACTATTTATTATCAACATCTTTGCTTTTTAATTTTTACTGAAAGTCGTGTATATGTTAGAAGAAAATAGTGACTGCAAGTTTGAATCAATTTTTTCGCGCACTCACACTCCTTCGATCTTAGCAACCGGAGAGTAAGAGAACGAAGGACACTGATTATTGGATACATTTTCATAACGGTTGAAAAAGAAGTGTAAGTAATAACAGTGCTTAGATTATTCTGGAATTCTGTAGGTTCTAACTACTCTAAGTATTGTAAGTTTTGGTATTTAATACAGCAAAATGATCTTATTTTAAATGTCAATTAGTAGAGTGAAACGTTATCATTTTGATTTATTCATTTATTTGACATTTTTTTTAAATTAATTATTTCAACACTTCTGATAATATATCATAAATTTATGCGAGTCAGAATTTGTGAGTTCTACATTTTTGTCCCTCATGGGGTTGTAATGAAAAGTTTTTTTGAAAAAATATACGTATTACACATTTGATAGAGACTGCCATAAGCTAGTATTGACTCCATTGAAACTTTGTCAAGAATATCAACTAATCCTACATGTGAATTCAAATCTTAAAGGAAAGCAGAGGCAAATATTAATAATATATGCCTGTGAGACACCATTTAATTAACAGTCATGTTCCAGAACCACATATATTAATAATATGCACATACATTTACATTTTCTCGTTTAATTGTATCAAATAAATTCTTGTTTACACTAAATCTCAAAACCAAGTTCGCATATAAATCATTTTATTTCATCACGCAACTACTTCTAGCAGTAAGTATATTAATTTAATCAATTGAAGTCTTGATCTAAATTCGACAATAGTTATTTCTTTTTTACCTCTTACAATAATTAACAAAAATGATAAATATCGAAAACAACGAAGAAGAATTTTCACATGTTGAATAATTATTTTTGTTATTTTTTTTTTCTTTATCTTTTTCTATATTAACTATAAATAACATATAATCTTATCATTTAAGTTTTTGAAAAAGATTTTTCTTTTCCATAGCAACAATGTCTTTCTTTACTTGGTAAATCATTCTAACGTTTATGCCATAAGATACACATTGCGTGACAATACCCATACACACGCAATGTTGTCAATAGAATTAAAAAAAAAGCATTTCTCCGATAAACGACAACTCCGATTGACTTTTCTCTCGTTTTTTTTCTACATTAGAACCATCATAATTTGTGATTCGATTTCACCGTTCTTACATATTAAAAAAACGGACATAATAAAGTATGGTGTACTGCTCATTACCTTAAAATAAACATACGACAGGCGAAATTTTTCTTTTTTTTGCATTATATGTAGGCGTGTTTGCTTCATATACTATTACTATCATAATATTTTATATCCTGTTTCATTCTCTCGTTCATTCTGTTCAGTAAAGAGAAAAGAAGAAGAGAAAGAGAAGCTATATGTTATTATTTTTTTATTAAACGATCGATGTAGAGAAGAGAAGAATCGAGTTTTTGTCAATATATATCAATCATATTGCATTTTTTTAATGACAACAATATGTAAAATGATTGAAGTAAGTATCAAAATGTTTCTTTTTAAAAATTGATTATTGATCAATGAAAACTATTGAAATCATGTTTTTTTTCTGCTTGAATTGAACACCATTGAAAAAAACTTTTATACTGTTCTTTTGGAGAATGTTTAAGAGACCGTCGAAATATCTATTACTATTATTAAAAAAGAAATTAAAAAAAAATACTTCATTCAGTCGTAACCATTGTATTCGCTGTTCTATAATCGATTTGTAAATTTCATTGTTTAAATAAAAAACGAGAAATGCCGAACATTCTTTAGTGATGCACCAAAGATATTAACATATATATTTATATATGTATGTCTCTTTTCTGTCAGTTATAAAGTGTAATTCGCTTAGTGTTGACAAGCGAAGTCTGAATCTAACGCCGTGTGACACTCATTAGGCTTTCGGGGATTTGAATACAACTGTCGCTCTGTATGAATAGAACGAAAGACTTTTCTCTTTTTTTTTTTTTAATTTGACTGTTGTTTTAATTAAAATTGAGCGAGCTAGGGTCGATGACTTTTTAATTCATACATTTAATGCTCCATCCTGTCAAATGCCTTTTAAGCTGTTATATTTCTGAAGAAAGCATGAACAAGGTGTTGAGAATTTCTTATTACATTGACGAACATCGTTAGTTGATTTTCTACTTCATCACTAGACTAGAGAAATTAGTATTTCCTTTGAAAAAAAAAAAGAAACGAGAAAGAATTGTTTCTTTCGCATGCGCGAACATATACTGCTTGAAGAAAAAAAAAGCAGAAAGCAGTAGAAGAATAATTGAAAAATCTGCACAAGATGACAACAACAAGCTGTAAGGAAAAGTCAGTTCATTATCTTCTCACTGACATGCATAGATACATTAATACTGATTGATATAATATATAGCCAATAGGTAAAAGGAAAAAAAATGCTAATTAAAACTTGTCATTTACAGATAAATTTCTATGGCTAATTCAACAACAACTATAATATGTTGTTGCTAATACTAGATGAAGCCATTTTATCATAAAAATGATTATTTACCATGAGCTGCCGCCTGTGGGTGATGCTCATATTTATAATTTTTCAATTGAAAACCAAACTCATGGCATTGAATTACCTTGAAAGTAAATAAATCTTTTCTTTTTTCTTTTTAAATTTATCTTCTACATTTCTTTTTATTGAAGATTGTTTCTATGAAAAACGTAGTAATACAGCACTACATGGTTATAATGATCTACATGATCTTTGGATATCGGACTTCGAATGTTTCGACCGTTGTCTAAAAACTGATCCTCAAAAATGCCGTTCATTTGAACATTGGCGTAGAAATGGATATGGTCTATGTATACGAGCAAATATTTCATTAAATGATCAGCCATTAGTAATGAGACATAATGTATTTGTGGATTATTATGAAATTCTTTGTCGAAAAGATAATAAAGGTTTATTTGAAAATTTTTCTTTATTATTTCTTTTTTTAATTTATTTAATTCATTTTTAGTTATCAAACCAAGTACAATTCATTGTCCAAATGATCAATTATTTGTAACGATACAATTAAATGGTATTGATCCAAATAATGTTCTACTTGGTGATCATAATTGTAAAACACATTGGTCAAATGAAACACATGCACAATTTATTACACATATCAATAATTGTTCATTGGTATTGAATAGAAAAAAAAAGATGACTATATATTTAGCTATAATTTAAAAGAAATTTTCATTTAAATCAAATTTGATTAAGATGGAAAATGAAATTTCAAAAAAAGAGATTTAGGATAATTGAATTATTCATTAATTAAAACAGCAAGAAAGATTATTGAAAGCCTCTTTAAAGTAATAAAAAAAGGAGATGTTTTTAATTGCTTAAAACTTTTTTTCTATCCTAATCCGAAGATGAATTACCTAAGTAAGTCAGACGTTTAACACGTTGTGACTTAAGACTTTTAGATAGTTGATCGTTTTAGATATAAATTCATCTATAATACTTAATGATGAAGTTTTATTATTAAAGCTGGCATGTTCTAACATTCTTTATCAGATTTCAGGGTTGTAATTAAGAAAGAATTTTGAGAAAGTTTTAACACACCTTTGCTTCTTAAATTTAACATTTCTGACATAGAAAATTCGTTTGTTTTTCAATACAATTGACAGTTTCGATTGATTGTATTTTGCGAGATACTATTATATCGGATAGTTCAATTCCTAAGATAAAATTATCTACAGTCATTCATTATTCGGCTTCTTTTTTTTTTACGAACTTTTAACTCAGAATCAATATAAAATTCAATAGATCTACTGTTAAAAGAAAAAGCACAACACTATCATCTGTAAATCATCAATCATGATAGATAGATTCACTATTGAAGTGATTCCCTGAAGTTTGCTATTTAAATCTTATATCAGATGATTAAAAAGACTTCTTTTTTCTATTTCTTTTTTATAAATATAGATACTAACAAATGATTTGATTGTTGGTAAACTTCGTTGGAAAAGTGTACATAAAAATAACAATTTTACCAAACAATATGAGCGTTTTTTTGTTTGTGTACCTGATATAAATCAAATACGTTTATTTCATCGAACATCAACTAAACCAACATTTTCAGATAGTAAAGATACATTATTAACACATCCTGATCATGATGAAATTTCTAATAATGAACAACAAATTATTTCAACTTCTAGGTAATAAAAAGAAAAATACATAATATCAACTTTAAAAAATATAGATTTTTTTGATGTTTTTAAGAATTACTTTAACATGGACATTACATAATCATTCATATTTTTGTCCTGATTCTTGTTTTATATCACTTTATTCTTTTATTAATATAACACTTGATGATTTATCTTTCATATCATCAAGATCTTTAATTGATTCATGTGATCTAAAAGCACTTTATCCTTATACAAATTATGTACAATCAAGACGATTGATTTATCAAGGGTAAAACTTAAAATATAAGAATAGAAAGAAAAGAAAACAATTTTATTTGCTTTAGTTGTTCAATTGATCCAACTGTGATTCATGTTCCAATAAATTCTTCCTCATTATCAATATTTCATTTTTCATTTTATCTTTATCATATACTTAAAGAACCAATTCCATTTCAAATTCAATGTAAAATTTTACATAATGATGATAAAAATGAATTTCAACATGATGTCGATTGTTCATCATCATTTATTAATAATAATCATAATGATCGTTTATCAATGAATAAAAATGATAAACGAGATTATTCGTATAAATCATTTCGTTCATCAAAAGTTTATGTTACCAGACAATTACCATCAATTATATTTGAACATGAGCTATTTCATAGTAAACATTATAATTATAATCATTAAATGAAATTTTAAAAAAATTATTCTTTCATTTTAGATTCTATTATTTCCATTGCTGCCGTCCATTATACAGAGTGCTGTTTCTTTGCCTTTTTTGTTCTTATATTAAATGCAATTTAGAATGAAACATTTTTAGAAATAAAAAATTATCAATATTTACTTTCTTTTTTCTTTTTAATTACTTAATTATTTTTTCACAATTATTCTTTAATGTATAAATTATATACGAGCTTATTTATCTTTAATGGCTTCAATCCAAAGACAAATGTACAATAATGTCATATTTTTCATACAAGTTTTTAATCAAATGAAGGCATGACATAAATGAGATGTTTAATGAACAATTTCTTATCATCTTAATCAGTGAAGACGATTTTATACTAGAGAAATAATTTCATCTAGCGAATTACAAAATATACAATAAGAATTCTTACCAGACGTTCATTTCTGTCATTGTTGCAGTTTGACATGAACGAAAGAATGAATACTGAAAAGACATCATAAAAAAGACTTCTATTATTAAGAAAAAACTCGATTAATTAAGAAAGCATTAGGCTGATAGGATAATCGAATTCAAAGACTATAATCAGATATTGTTTATGCTAATCGAAGTAAATGAAAATATATATATACTATACTATTTATAACTTAAGAATTTATTCAAACTTGCGAGACTTAATGATCGATAAATATTTTCGATTTATCGATACAATTTTTAAAACTTTTCATCACTAGTTTTCTAAATATGTTTTCTTTTGAACATGTGCAATATATTCCATAACAGAATAAAACAAAATTTCTTTTTTACTTCTTAAGAATGTTAATTGTTGTAAAAAAAAGCTTCAATCATATATTGATTTTGTTATTCCTGTTAAAAAATAGTGAGTTTTATTGCTTATTTTACATGCATTGATCTCGACTAAATTGTCGTAAAATGTATGTCCAGAATTAAAAGATACTTTCATATATCACTCACACTTTACATTTACATATCAACCTTGGTTGTGTTGGTATATGTGTCTGATTCATATTGACATTTTCTTTCTGAAGTTTTCTTTTTTTCTTCTTCTTCTCACGTAATCTCGATCGTCAACAATCATCGCTTTTAGTGCTACTATGGCATCATTACGATTCATATCTACAAATTAATATATCAGTCGTTTGTAATACGATAAAAAAAAAAGAAGAAGAAAAAACGAATAACCATGAATCAAATAGAGTGTACAGTATATAAGTGCAGTAGTAAGGGTAGATTTTATGTATATTTTTATTATCAAAATCTACGATGAAGCTGTTTCTTCTTGCTGTACTTACACTCTTGATTGTTGTCAATGGTAATCCATTTAACCGCCAGTAAGTAAAAATTAATTTTTGAATACAGAAGATATATAGAAAACAAAATCAAATTGTTTGATATAGTTGTAAATGCAAAGCTGTTTCAAATACAATTTATTTTCCATTTCATAAATGGGATGTATCATCATGTAAACTTTGCTCATGCAATGATGTATCTATGACCAATTGTGAAAAAGCATGCAAATCTCTGGTAGAAACTTACGCACTTACTGGTTGTGGAAAAGTTATTAAAGGTAGCAAAGTGAAATATTCATGGGAAGCAAGTTCATGTTCAAATGGTATTAGCAATGATGAATACACATGTGCTTAAATATGAATAGAACATTCGAATTATGCTTCTTTTTTTTTGTCATCAATGATTCACTTTATAAGAAAGACAAATTTTTCAGTATTATAAATGATTATATGTAGAATTCAAAGGATGACTGTAGATCATGAAAAGATTCGTTGCCTGTAATTTTTTTTGAATGCTGAAAATGTTTCATATTCATTTATTTCTTTTTTGTTTTGCCCATATATTCATTATACAATCATTTAGCACAAATAATTGATAGAAGATTAACTAAAAATATGAATCAGTATCATAAATCACAAAGGTATAATTTTTATTAAAAAAATATTATGATTTTATTATTCGTTGGCTATGTTGATAAACAACAAAACACAAAATTGATATTTATTAAGTATACTTGTTGTTACAACTGACTAGCAAAAGTAAAAGAACAATACATGCTAATAAAAGTTAAATAAATAGCAGACTGACAATGCTGTAATAAATAATGTAAATTTTTGTGCATGTTTTCATTAATTATTAATCAAAAAGTTTTCAACTAAAGAGAACATTCTATAATTCTATAATTATGGATTCAATTATTTTGAGTTTCATTTATAAACATATATTAACATAAAGTATTATGGACAAATAAACACAAATCAATTTTGTTTTACAATTTAAAATTTGTATTTAGTTTTGTATAAATAAAGAATAGTCCTTCTTTCTGAACGAACTAGGTGTGCCATATTAGAATTTGCATTAACATTTATTATTATTAATTCTAATGCAAATAATTCTATAACATAAAGGTTGGTTTGAATAGTAATGTTAATTTGACACCGCTGGAAACGAATTAATTGTCTGATTTTTTTTCACTGAAATAACAATGATAAATAAATATATCACAAATGAATGTTCATAAAGTGCATATATGATTTTTCTTCAATGTTCGTAACAATAAGAATTTATTGACCTTCATTCGGTGGAGCTAGAAAGTCAACATAGATTTTTTTTTTCAGACGAGAATATCACAACATAAAAAACAAATCTCATGATGTTTGGCCTCTTATTTGACAGCTCACTGCTGTATCTATCACCAAGAGTACCCTACTCCAATCAAGTTTTTCTTAAAATTTCACGATCGCACGCATCGATAGAGAAGAGAGATCTGTAAGTAATGTAGACTTTACCATGCCTCAAAATTGCAGTGGATTGAAGCACCTTATCTGTAACATAATATAGATATGCAAATCTTTGTTTCTTGATAAAAAAAAAATGGAGATTAATACAATTAAATGGTGCAAAATCAAAAAGGTATCAAAAAAGTCTTTTTTCGACACTAGGAGAAAAAAACTAATGTTTTTATCGTAAATTGTTTACATTAAGGCGTATCAACTTCGGATTGTTGCTTTCAATCTAAGTTTATCGAGTTCTATTTGTAGATAAAAGCATTAAAATCTGTAATAGATAAATGAATCGAACTCATCAAAAGATGTAAGCAAAAAAATCACGCTTACATGTTGATTATGTGTATTTATTTTTGGCACAGTATATAAACTAACACTTATCACCAATTTTTTAACCATACTCTTGCAAACATTTTAACTAGGCAATATCCTTGCGGCTTGTTTTCGATTAATTTTATTATTATTATGCAAAATTTATGTGTGAAAAAGTACGATTGTATAATATTTTTTTAATATTGGGTGATTCATAAAAATATGAATTTGGCTATTGAGAATTCCGTCTTGTTGTTTTTTATATTTCTAGTCCACATACAGAATGAAAAAAATTACTCATTTACTTTTTATTGTGCACTTTTATATATTGACTATATTCCAGGTGTCGTAGTTTGTAATATAAGGTATGAGACGAAGTCCACAGTATAAAAGCATATTGCGTCCAGCTGTGGTGTAACACATTTCGGATACGTAGTTAAAATGTAGCTTTTATCTTTTTTTCGATCTAGTTTTCATTAAAAAGTACATATTTAATAGCTTTTGATTTTTATTAAATATTTTCAATGTTTTTCCTTTTTTTCTTCAATTTATTAAGCATGATACACTGAGATCTCATCATTGCAAATTGATTCAATTACTATAAAGCTTCTTTTAAGCATTTCTATTTCAACCATTCATCTTTCGACATTTTCTCAAACATCGATAAAAACATAACTAACATTGAAAAAAATTCAAGTTTAATATAACAACTATGCTGTTTTTACTATGCAAAACATACAAAACAAGAACTATGAATAATGAATAAATAGCTCACGACATATTCTAGATGCGACATAATTTGAATAGGTCACAGATTCTTATTAGGATGTAAACATGATTTAATTTAGTATCGAATTATTTTCAACAGTATTTTATAGATAGATAAATAGCACGTAGTTTTATTGACTATAACAAAGTATTACAGTTTCGAAACGATAAGAATTGAATTGATAATGAAAATACTATTGTTTTCAAAATGAAGAAAAAGAAATGTATATGTTCTGTGACAGTGAATGAATGTAACATTATCATAGTGCATGACAACGTTTTGTTTTCATGGAAATAAACATCAATAAACTTTTTTTCTGCATACTTTTTTCCTCTAGAGAATATTTACTTGATCAGAGAACATTATCGTTCTTTTTCTTCAATTTACAATAAATTAATGAAAATAAATATTCCATTCTATCATGTCGTTTAGTATGGTAGAGAAGAATTATATTTTAGGTAATGAACCTGGACATATAATTATTTTTTATCGTAAATTCTATAAGACGGTCTTATTTTTACAATGTAAAAGTGAAGTTTTCAACTATCTCTATTTTCTAATATCACTAATCCATTTTAAACAAACTTAAGACACGTATGAAGACTAGTCATCATCTTTCTCAAACTTCTACTTAGTAAATGATGAATCATTCTCTAAAGTTTCAAAAGTTCGAAAAAGTCTAACCTATCAACTACTTACATTTTGCTATGTGTGAGAATAAACATTTATTTCTTCTATGAATGACTCAATAAAATTCTATACACGTGGTTATGAAATAATTGTGTAATGTCTTACAATGAAATCGACAAAGTTTTCGGAGGTATGCAAATTTGCAAGATTTTTTGCTAGACAAAAATCTTAGTAAATTCTAATAAAATTATCAAATTTATTTAAAATAAAAACATAATAACGCTATTGAAAGACATGTACATTTTAATTACTAAAAACTCTAATTTCAACTAGAAAACCAATTGTTTTAATCCATGCTGCGTCATCTACAAAATTAAGCTTTCTGGAACGTATCAACAAACTCACTTGATTTTATGATATAAACTATTCAATAATTGAACATTAAGCGTTTATTGAATGTTTTGTTCATTTCATATTTAATGAATTTCAATAAAAATTGTCATGAATGATGAATAATTGTATTTGAATAAGAATTGTTGCTTTTTGTAAAGAATATCATTTCTATTATCTTTTTGCAAGATACTAATTTGAATCTCAATTCAATTTTTTATATTTACAAAAAGTTTTCGTTATTATTACGCTTTCAATGCTTGTAGAGGTTCTTTTTTTTTTCTTTTTTTCTTTTTGGTTTCTTTTATTACTTTTCCCTTTCGTTCTGTTTTCTTTTGTCTCGCAATACTTGCTCACTAACTTTATTTTATATTCAATGACAATTTTTATTTTCTCTAAATAATATTATCATAATGGCTTCAGCTCGAAATCTTTGTCAACATGCGGATATAGATGGAAATCAATGTACATCAAACGATTATATACTTTGTCCACATTGTCAATTACAATTGTGTCTTAAACATTTAAATTACCATCAAGATTTACTTCGTTCTGAATTATATACTCTATGTAATGACATAGACCATGCTCGTATGGATTTAGATAATTTATTATTTGATTCTACTAATCATCGTGAATATTTATTTAAACGATTAGATGAATGGTATAATCAACAAATAAATTTAGTTAATAAAATTTATAGTGAAAAAAAACAACAAATTCAAATTTTATGCTTACAATCAGATATGGAATTTGATACATATAAAAATGAACAAGAAAAACAATTGAAAGATAATTTAATGAAACAATTAAATAAAGTATTAAGACAAAAACAAATACATATGGATGATTTAAAAGAAATGAGATGTAAATTAGATAATATACAACGTGGTTTAGATGAACTTAAACAATTAAATATTGATATTCATTCTAATAATACATATTTTGATATTAATATTGTCAAAAAACGTTATATTGAAGCGGCTAAGGTAAATATAACAAACGCTTTCAAGCGTATCACAGTTAGTATAGGTTGATTGTTGAGAATACTTTTATTTATTTACAAAAACATGTTTTTTCTTAACTCTTATTCAATTTCATTCATCTAATACTCTAAATCTAAGTCAAAGAATTCATTCTATATCAGAATAAAGTCGATTAGGAATTTGGAAATAATTAATAATAATAATTATTATTATTATTCTATTATACAAACGCATCTTTCCAAAACAAAAAAATCTTTTCTTTTAAAATAACCCAAACTTTTTTTATCGAATGGAAATTTTACTTGATGTTCTTTTGCATTTATTGAGTAACAATAAAATACAACAAATCGATCTTAAATTTCTCTTATTTTTCAGTCATTGTTTAATGATGATGATAATAATCTATGGGAGAGCGACAATGAAGACGAACAAGAAGAAGAAGAAAACATAAGATCATCAAGTGATCATCACATTCTCGAAGAAATATCCAATTGTAAACAAAAATCATCGTCATCTTCTATTAGTCACCTCCCATCCCTAGCTACTCCATTATCTTCATCACCAACAATTGTTATGAAAAAACCACCATTAAAACTCGTTATCAAACGGTTGCAACATCCAGCAATATCTACTGAAATCAAATACAAATTACATACAGTAAATACGTCACTACCGGTTACTACCTAACAGCATTTTTTTTCTTGGAAAATAAACACAACATAAGTGATTTGTAATTTATCTTTTTCTTTTTGTAAATTAAAAATAACCTATTTGAATATCATGAAATGAGAAATATTAATCATAAATTTATTAAAAAAAGAAAAAACAAAAGGAAACAAAAATAGATATTTGTCTTATCTGTACAAAGGCCATCTGCATCATGCTTCATGATGAATCAAATAAAAGTAATAAAATCAAGGAATAACATGAAAAACGATACGTTATAATGTTTTTTTTTATTCTGTTCTGTTGTAACGATGTAATAGGAAAAATCGCTTTGACATTGCAAGGATATATTTTTTTGTACTTAAGTTATCCAATTACTATCAATTGAAATAGAGCGATCGATGAATAATTTAAAAAAATATAAGAAAGTTGTATATATGAAATAGTATAATAAAAAGTTTTGATTTAATTAAAATTTTAAAGAAAATAAAATGAACATTGTTGAATATTTCTTATTTTATATGAATCATCGAACATTTCAATAGATCTAGTTAGTATCTATTTGAAAATAAAACAAGCGTAACTTTTGTTTTGGAATAAATCTAGATAGACATCTGTGATTTTTCTTTGTTGAAAACAGAAAATACGAGCATATTGAATTATATAATGCAGATTTTAATAAAATTCTTTCAATTCAATTTTTCGAACAACAAAGAATCGTATGGAATTAAAGCAGTAGGTCACTTATTGTCAGGTGCACTAACTGAAAATTTATAAGAGTCATATTATTAGGTTAACTCAATCAAGAGAAATAAATATTTTACTGGAAGTAATTAGCTGATTTTAAAAAGTTTTTTTTTTCTCGAAAAAATTCAATAGAATTATTTCTAACAAACTAATCAGAAAAATTTGTATTAAAATATTCGATCAGTTTTTTATCTCTTCTTTTCAACGGTCATAACTAGAAACGAATATTAGTATTTTGTATATAAAAGAGAATTTTGGACAAATTTGTTAATTTAATAATCATTTGAGTCTCTTTTATAACCATACAATCTATCATTCTTTTCGATTTTCTACCATATAAATCTTTATTGGTTAGTCGAGTTGAATTGTTCTTTTCTTAGACATTACTAATTGAAAACATATGTTCGTATGTTATTGTTTCTTTCATACTGTCTGAAAGTTTTGCAATTGCTCGATTCGGAACAGATACGTTTAAGATTATTTTAATTTCATTTATGTGTAGCTGTCGTTCGTTGAATACTTTACACTTTACCTTTTTTTTTTTTTCTTTTTTTTTCACATCAATAAAATTTCATATCTTTGCTTCTTTTTTTTTCATCTGTGTATGTGCATAAGGAACAGTTAACGATAAGAACAGAAAGTTATTGTTGAAGTGTCGAGCATTTAAAAAGCAGTACAAGAGAATTCATGACAACATATAATCTTTTCGAAAGACCCGAATTACTTGACAATCAAACTCGTTTAATTTTATCCGCTGATGCTAAACCAAAACGATTAATTCGTAGCGCAACACGTTCAGCTGCACATACGAGTTCACATGAACGTCCAGATTCAGCTATAAGTGCAGGTATTATTCAAGAAGCCGATGATGATTTGTTAGATGAAAATGCTGAAATAAATAATGAAAATTATTCAATAAGAAAAATTTCAACTTTATCCGATGAAGTTGATTATGATACAGATATTGAACAAGAACAAGAACCACATCGTGATTATTCATGTAAAGGTGTTTATATAGATCAATGTCGTCGTCATGGTGTTATACCATCAACTCATTTTTTACGTCATATTGATAATGAATCATTAACAATACGTTATTGTGGTTTAAAACCAATTAATGTTAAAGTTATGGTACCATCATTAAGAATTAATTCAACAATTACGAAACTTGATCTACGAGATAATAGTATAGGATCACGAGGTGCTATATATATAGCATATTTAATTAAAGAAAATGAATATATTGATGAATTAAATCTTGCAAATAATGATATTGGTCTACAAGGTATGAATATTTTAAATGAAAAATAAAAGTTGATCAATATCATTCTTTTTGCTTCGGAATCAGAAATGATTTAGATTTGTAAAATTACAAATTTATCAAAGTTGCTATCAGTTTAAAGAAAAACAAGGCAACAAAATAAATGAAATCTGTTCATATATATTTAAGTCGGAAAACATACAATGAAAATGAATAGATGATCGAACCTGTTCGATTGTATAAATCTAGTGCATCACTATGAAAAACATCCTTTTATTCAATTATCTTGTATCTCATTGATAAACTATCATTGAAAAGACTTTTTTTCTTTCTTCATAGGTTGTAAAGCTCTTTGTCGAGTACTTTGTTCAAATCGTTCAATTCGTATAATCAATCTTGATGGTAATCGTTTTAATGATGATTGTGCACCATTATTTGCTGAAGTTTTTTCTCAAAATGAATTTTTAACTTATATAAATTTAAATAAAAATTTCTTTGAAAATGAAACAACAGGTCGTCTTTTTGGTAAAACATTAAGCGAAAATCAAACATTAGAAGAAGTTCATCTTGGATGGAATCGTCTTAGTTCAAAAGCATGTAGTTATATAATAAAACCATTGGCTGCAAATGCACGTATAAGAATACTTGATTTATCTTGGAATGGTGCTGGACTATTAGCAGCTAAAGCCATCAATGATTTATTAAGAAAAAATATAATTTTAGAAAAACTTTATCTAGATAATAATCAATTTAATACGGAATGTGCTACATATATTGGTAAAGGTTTATCAAAAAATGAATCATTAAAAATTTTAACATTAAGTGGAAATCCATTAGAATCAAGTGGTTGCTATGCTGTATTACGTCCATTAGTTAAACATCCAACATGTCAACTTCAAACAGTTGATTTACGTGGAATAATTGTAAACAAAGATTTTCTTGAATTAGTAAATGAACTTGGCAATGTTTTTACAAAACTGACTATAAAATTAGGTAGTGAACGAGAAAAAGAAAATTGAATGATTTTAAATAAAAAGCAAAAAAAAAAAGAAAGGAAAAGAAACGATCAAAGAACTCTTAATAAGCAGAAACGACAAAAGAAAAAGAATCGAATGAAAAAAAAAAGAAAGAAAGTAGACAACAATATAAAATTAGATGCATTTTTTCTTTCTTTTCTTCATAACGCAAATACTGATTTCTACATAACACATGACTTCAACATCGCCATCACATTGTCTTGTAGCTGAAGCTGATTCTGATTATTTGCAAACAAATGAACATGAACAACCACCTTTACAAAACTATTTACGTGAACGTCTTCTTGAAATTCGTACACGTAATTATTCAAATACAGGCATAGCTGATGCTAAAGCAATAGAAAAGATTTCATCTGAATTTGAAATACTTGTTTTTGGTCCTGCTCGTGTTGGAAAATCAACATTAATACGAGAACTTTCAGGTGATGAACAAATACGAACTAGTGCAGGTTTAAATACTTGTACACAGACAACAACAGCTTACACCGATCAATTTGGTGTAAGATGGTGGGATACACGTGGTAAGCAAATCTTTCAATAATTCTTGCGAGTTTGTTGTTATCAATGAAAAAAGAAAGTATTTAAAATTTATCAGAAACTCCGCTGCGAAGAAATAAATTTCGATAATTGAATAATTTGTTGTGATCTGGAAAAGTTCTCTTAGGCCTTCTAAAAATTTATATTCAATAATGTATTGATTTGCCACAGCTGCACTAACAATTTTTATTATTATTAATAGGTATTGAACAATGGACTGAACGTGAAGCTCATGCATTTTTAAAAGAAAAATTTCTTGATCGACATATTATTCCACGAGCTGCAATATTTTGTCGTACATCAGGTTCATTTGCTAATACAGCGGTATTACAGTCATTGTTTCGAGAATTTGAATCTCATGGTGTCACTTTATTTTATGTTATTACTAGATGGCCATTTTTACCACGACGTGAACAAATCGCTATTGTAGATGAAGCCATTGAGTTATTAGGTGGTACAGCTACAGGTATTTATCCATCGAAAACAAGAAATATGAATACAAATGTTCAACAAGTAGAAATAATAGCATCTTCATCAGGTATAATTTAATTGAATTTTTTATCAAAGTAAACATGAATAATTTGTTTTGCTTTTTAAGGTGTTGGCTGTTTTGGTTCTCGTCGTACACCTCATCCTCTTCCAACTAATGCTTCAGCTCCTATTCCAACACCAATACCTCTTTATCGTGCACTTGAATGTAAACCTGATATGTCTTATATTGTTCCAGTTAATTCATGTCTCGATGAACTTGGTGACAGTTCTAAATCGGCTACATTTCCTGTTATGAATCTCATTCTTCTTCGACAATTAATTATAACTAAAACATGTCGTGGACCTAGTCGAGAACAAAAACTAATTGATTTATATAAAAATCAAATGTCTCTATTTGCTACAATTGGTTATCATGCATTTGAAGTACTTGATGATCTTGGTTATGGTGCATCATCATTTGGATTAAATAAAAAAGAAGAAGAAATTTATCGATCATTAAAACAAGGTGGTAAAAATCAACATATGGCTACACCTGTAGTTAAAGCAGTTATTGATAAAGTTACAGAAAAAATGTCATTTCCTATGGCATTAGTTTCATTAGCAGGACCTATGATTTCTACTATTTCTAACCGTCAAAATAACGAAACATAACAACAATAACAAAAAAAAAACATTCATATTGATATTCTTGCCACTGTTGTTTTATGTTGTTGTTATGAGTGGAGTATTGTTTTATAAAATAAAAAAATTTCATTAACTAGTAAATAACTATTCAAATTGATTTGATCTATTTTCTACAAGAAGAACGAAAAATGTAATATTCTCGTTTCATTTGTTTTTTCTTATATAGAGAGTGTCGTTTCTTTATACGTTGATCACATATTGTCTAAGAATGGCGAATATTCAAGAGTATTTGTCACTATATCATCATTTGTATGAAAATTATATTTTAATATTTTAGAATTTAAAGACGTAACTAAAATGTTTAATGAATAAAAACAAAATAGTTCCAATAATTTTGTTTATAATAATACACATATTTAATACAAGTTCAGTATTCTTGATATGTTGATTATAACGAAATAATCGACTTGTTTCCAATTATAATTCATATTAATCCATTTCTTTAATCCATTGGTTATTTATTGTTTAAGATATTTGGTTGATCTGAATCTACGAAATACAGGTTTTTCTGGTTTCAAACAACAACATTCAATTGAGATTGAATATTCTCCATCTTTAGAACCCTATGAAGTCAAGCTTTTTGACTAGCATATGTAATTGTTTCTTTTAGTGCTATTTGTTAATAATTCAGTCAAACATCTTCCTCTTGATTTATTCAAGTTAACAGGTTAATTTAAGCTCAATAATAATCTGACGAAAAAGTGATTCATCAATGCAATCTTCAATGAATTAGTTATCTGATATCTGTCATCGTTCATGTCTTGAGTGATATTTGACTTGTAACATTCTTACTCATTGATGATAATAGCAAAAAATATCACTTTTTTAAATAATACATTTGAATTACATAATAAAATAAAATGACTACAGCTTCTATTTGTTGTTGATTTAGTTGAATTTCATTGTTACTGATAAAGAAAAAAAGGTCAACTTTTTATGACAGAAACTATTTAAATATGCTTATCAGTAACACAGTAGTCATGAAAGTTTATACGCTTTAGTGTTCATGGATTTATTTATCATTGATTATTTGGAAGAAGAGAAATGAGCAAATGAGTAATGTAGGCTTTTGCTGCAACAATGCTCACACTCAATTCATGACATCTGTTGCTACCTTTTCAAATAGCATATATAGTAACAATCTATCAGAAATTCTTAATGAAAATCGTTGTATGTGGTACGACCAATAATGCGTCTTTTAAATCAATTCCATCCCATACATATATATACTCAACTGCAAATATATTTTTTTAATATCTGCATTCTGTTTCTCTCCGGGATAGAGAATCAGAGCGAACCAAAGATAAAAATTGAATCAAAATGAATAGAAACTTAGGGTGTGGGTATAGTTTTTCTCTTAACCCACCACATCCATATCCACACCCACACCCTCTTATGACTTTTAATCTTCTATTAGAGGATTCTACTCACCTAAACACTTCTACCTTTTATGCATCTCCAAATCGTGTTTAAGTTTCTGCTAATGAAAATATAAGAAGTGATGGATATGGAGAAAGCGTATGTGTGTTTGAAAAGGAGTCTCGATTTTAATATATTTATATCGAACCATCTAGAAAAACTGTTTTTTCTCATAAGAACTAAGTAAAACATAAACCAAATTTTGGTCGAATATCACTTTGAGAATGTAAATGTGTTGAAGTTCAATTCCTAATGAACAAGTTAAATGCTTTTCTTCTTCCTCTTTTTTATTGAGAAATGAGATAAAGCATCGAATCTTCTAAAATATCTGTTTAAATTGAAAAGTGAATTGAACTGAAAACTATCAATCTTTGTATCATCTGAAAGGAAAATTGTCTCATGTTTTTCATAATGTAAGTTTTATTTATTGTAACATGAAATAAAACGGAAGAACTTTTTTCAACACAACCGTACTCTGTGAAAAAAACGAGGCAAGCATAGATACCAACGGAAAATAAAGATTTGACACTCTGAAAAAGTAAGATATGAATCATTCGGAAAAAAAACAAACCAACGATGTAAGCTGCAAAAGATTCTATCAACTGCAACACATCATTCAAATAACGAAGAAACACGTGAGTTTAATAACTTAATCGTAGTGAGTAACTTATTAAGAAGATTCAAAATACAAAATAAACTATTTGAATATTATACACTTAGCGCCCAGACGCTGTGTTTATTAGAAACGATTGAGACATATATGATATCGACATCCATGATCAACTTTACTTAAGCCGATCGATCTGTCAATGTATGTCAGCGAACCAATCTGCACAGATACAGATCAGAGTCTGCCAGTTAGAGAGCAATATATGACAATAACGACGAAAACTTTCGTATCATAGAAAAATCTGAAATAGTGCAGGCTGCAAGATTCGCTTTACTTATCGATGTAATCGAGTGAGAGAGATAACTTTCATCACTCATAGTATTGTGAAACATTAAGAGCCAATCACTCCGAGCAACCAGGCAATGAGTCAAATTGAAGACGAAACTGCTACGTGGAAATGAGCAATGAACACAACTGAGACCGAAAAACTTTATTCATAGAAATGATTGGAGAAAGCTTCGAATATTGAACCCATTTTTGTCAAGTTGAGAGCGGAAAAGCTTTAAGCAGCACAGAATATTATGAAAATAATAGCAACATATTTAAAATCCCATAAGAATCCGTACGACAACAGTTAAAAATGCTCAGACCGCCGATCAATGTGTCTAGGTTAAGTCGAACAGCGTTAGATACCTCGTAACTCTGCACCACAAGAAAGTCAAAAAGCTGCAGGTCACTCAAACATTTAACTAAGTTCTCCCAAGCGGGCTATGTCACATTGGGATGTTTGAGACTAACATTAGTATGTACAGAGTAGTACAAAGATACACCACAAGAAGAGAAGAGTCTAAAGCAAACCATCAAAATGTGTTTCGCCGATAGCGAACACTGGTACTGAATATGATGTGAAACACAAGGAATAAGTATCACTCCACTCCGTTCATCCATCATAGCGAGTTTTGGCCTATGAATGCACCTATTTTAGAGACCGTAACCTCTTTTGGAGCAAAGAAGAATGAGTGAGAGGAACTTCAAAAATTGTTAGAGACTCTAGCCATGAGTCAGCGTCATCGTTAATAGCTTCATGTGACTTATAGAAGTTTTTCCATGCGACCGAAATCATTCAGGTCACAGCAAAATGTATGATAGAATCAGCAAAAAAGAAATTAAGAAAACTGATCAATGTGCTAGGTCAGCTGGAAAAATCTGCAGCACAACCACCAAATAATTATAGAAATTT